CCATAAATTTTGTGTGTGTTGTTGTGGTGAGCCAAAACTAACTCCACTTTTAATATACCAGGAGTTCCTGTCCACCCTTGAGAATCAAAATACTGGTTTCTCAAAAGCCCCCAGGGTCAGTAAATATGCTGTTTGTTGAGACCCCAGGAAATGTGGAAACTGTTTGGAAAGCACCTTAGGATTGTTGTGTTCAGGTTGTTTGATGTGTAGCCCTGTTTGATTATCAATAGCCCAGACAGGATCTGCAGCCCTGTTTGGTTATCAACAGTAAAACAGCACAGCCACCTTTGTTCTGCCAGAAAGGAGCAGCCTAATCTCTGTCCCCATGAATGAGAATATCCACCTGCTTTGTGTGGAGACCACCCAATTTGCATCCCAATTCAAACCAGAATTATAGGTTACTTCAAACAGATACTATGAGATGCAGAGCACACAGGCAGCAAAGATGGCACTGAGAGAGAATAGAGTGGGCAGAGCCTAATTTCCCTTACCTTCAGTGCATAATCAACCTGTGAAAGCTTAGGTGCAAGATAGGGTATGACCTTGACAGTGTAGTTTCGTCTTCCCACCCTGCCATGTCACCTGCCCTTTTTGGATTTAAAAAGGGCTGCTCTCTGTTAATAAACGAGTTTTCTTCCTACTTGATTTGGCTCTCCACTGTGTCTGATTGTCTCCCGGGCTGAGGGAGGCTAGGGATCGGGCGAGCACCGCACTTACCTTTCCTCGGACCCCGTCCATCTTTCATGGGAGGGATGAAGACCCAACAATGAGACAGACTGTAACCCCATTGGCCACTGACATAAATATGCAATCATTGTGTGTGTGCTACAATCCTGCTGGCCACCTGCATGTTGACAGGCTTGAGGGCCATTCGGGGTGGCAGTTTCAGCTCCAGAGTCTGTGCTGAGTCCCTTGCTGGTCAGCTATCCACTTCCCCAAAAATGTCATCTTTTTACATGAGTCTGTCTTTACATGAATGGTGGACTCTTTTCCCCAGAACATGTGTAAAACCAAGTATATGACAAGACCAAAGTAAGGGAAGGACGTGCTAATTTGGACTCAGAGTTTCAGAGATTTCAAATCACAATCATTGACTTCCTTGGTGTGAGGTGAGGCCCAAGATCAGGTTGTGGAACCATCTAGCAGAGGATACTCAACTCAAGGTACATTAGAATCCAAAGGAAAAAAACAAAACAAAACAAAACAAACCATAGGAAGTGGTAAGGGCAAGATTAGCCCCAAGGACATGCCCACAAGTGATGTATTTCCTCCAACTGAGCCCCACCCCATGCTCTCAACACTTCCCATACCACCACCCTATTGTTAACCCATCAAGGGGTGAATAAACACAAATCCAAGAGTGTGAAGTAAACACAGAGGACAAAACTACACCCAGAGAAACCAGGTCTTTGCTAGTTTTCAACACAACACTGAACAACATGAATAAGTAGAAAACATGATTTCCCTGAAGAACAAAAAACTGATTCACAGAAGGAAAATTGTCCTTTTTCCTCCATTTGTACCATGTGACTGTGCAGGTGGAGGAATTAGTGTCTCACCTGTTCTTGTTTGATATCAGTGTGAAGGCCTGGAAGGTTGTTCATATTGGCCTCCTCTAACAAATCTAGTGTCAAAATATGATAATTAGCAACAACAAAGAAACTTTATTGATGCTATCTGGTGGACTAGTTATTATTTTGGCTTCAAATATTAAGTCTAAGAAGCAGAAAATGTTACACTCTGGAATACTGAATTACAAACTATTGGGAATCAGAAAATGTTACATGCTGGAATACTGAATTACAAACTATTGGGAATCCTCAAGCAACAAACTCCTCACAGTCTCAATAATGCCACTGCTGATAGAGCCTCTGGAGGGTCCCTCATGCCTGTGGCTCAAATTTCAGGCTATGACCTACAAAGAAGACAGGTACTCCTGTCACTCTAGCCACAGGAGGCTAACAGCCCTGCCTACAGAAACCAGAGGCCTGGCCTCGTGGCTTGCAGCAATGCTTGTCTTGACTATATTCCCATGTTGGTCACATGAGCATTTGTCTGTTTTGTGGACACAGGGGCTGTTTCTCCCCCAATACACATTTGCAATCTGACACCATATTGCAATCTCACTTCTTTTTCTCACAGAAGATGCTGCAGAGCTTTTTTTTTTGTTGTTTTTACAAAGGAAAGAAATGTATCTCAATTGAAAAGGAAACCAAATTCACTCAGCACCTGCCTCATGAAAATTGGGAATGTACCTATGGTCTCTAAAGGACTAAAAATTTAATTTTAATATACTTCTGTGTAGTTACTGTTAGTGTTATGCTCACCTTTGTTCCTTAGCTCCACCCAGACTGGGCCCTCCTCCCATCCTGGAGTTCCCTCCATACTTTGTCTCCTCCCTCTCTCTGCCCAGACCCACCTGAACTCCCATTTACCTCACTTCCTATCCGTCACATCCTCTTGCTATCTGGATGGTGATGGAGGCCATGTGCTACCACTTGGGGAAATACGGCTTCTCTAATAAACCTTATAATATTCTTTCTCCTGTGCTTGCCTGCCTCTGCCTAGTCTCATGGACGCATGTGTCTGCTCCTCTTACAGTTACATTGATGGGCTGACAACCCAGTTCGGGATCATGATCACAAGCCTTATTACTAGAACAACCAGGCTGGTACTTGAAAATCAATGGTCTATCCCACAGCTCAGAACCCAGCTGGAGGATATATTGCATCCAGGTTGACATAGCTGTGAGAAAAATTCAGACTCTTCCAAAAGTGTTTCTGTCCATCAAGTGATGGAGATTTTCTGTCTTAGAGACACTAAAAGATATACAACGCTTCAGACCCATAAAACTGTTAATAGAATATAGACACTGATACAAGACAGAATACAAGAAAGATACAAGGGCTCAGTCTCAGACTTCTGTGACCTCTGAACACTATTACACGACTTCATCATACTCTACTCTCTCAAGTAGAGCCAGATCCCCAGAACACACAAGGCCAGAGACCAGTGTGCAGAGTCCAGTACTGTGTCAGCCCAAGCTTGATTCAATGAGGAACCAGTGAGAGAACTCTGTGAAGGCCTTGATATTTATGCAGGGTTTGGGGACAAACAGAGAAGATGCTAGACAAAGTACAACTGGGCTTCCAGCTTCTGAACAGAAAACATAACATAGACTGTACATATGGGCCAAAACCATATGCATGATGGAAGTTTTATCAGTTTCCTTATGAAGGGAATAAAATCATAGAAGATACTTGATGTTTATATCACTGATTGTCTACAGTACTACTTAAGAGACACATATTTTTTTCAATAGATACCTCATTGTTTACCTAAAGTCTCCTGGTCTTATCCTTTCATGATTTTCTCCTGCTCTTTGTAGTTTCCAAGTCATCAAATTATCATATGCTTTTCATGTCCACCCAGTCATACTGATCACAATATCTTCCTCCTCAGCTCATTCAGACAATCTTCTCTGCTGGTTCCCAGACCAGCAACACATGAGGGCTGCTCACCCAGCCAGAGGAGAGGTTCTAGTTCAGCGATGTATCACTGTGGGAGGATTATGTGGAGCTTGAAAGCAGTAATACACCCCATCATCCTCAGTTTCCACACTGCTACATTTCAATGTGCAATCTGTGCCTGACCCACTGCCACTGAATCTTTCTGAGATCCCAGATTCTCAGTTGGAAACCTCATAGATCAGGAGTTGTGGAGA